TCTGATTGTTTTGCATGAGATTGTGATATTCCGATTTTAATATATATTTTGGTGGTTGCGGGAAATTACGTAGACTTTTGTCCAAGAACTATACACCCTAGTCTTGTGGGCCGGAAGGTATGCTCCGATCCAATGGGGGTTGTTTGTTCCAGATGCGAAGGAGTGAACCCCTGCTTGAACGGCCTGTCCCTTATCTCGTTCTTGGCCTGCTTCAATGCGAGCAAGGGCAATGGACATCCATGTTTTTCAAGATTCCGCTGACTATACTTAACTGGTACTTTGATTCAAGGAACGCAAAGCTTTCTTTCGAGGCGGCCCGACCCTCGCCAAGGATTGATTTATCCGCAACCCAACTGCTCTCTATATTAAAGTATAAACAGGCACATTAATCTGGCATAAGTCACTTACGAATCATATTTGAAATTCTTGATGGATAGCGCCGGAATTTTATTATCTTGAAAGGCTTTCACAGTTCCGCCAAAAGCAACTGTAACCATGATGAACTATACATCACTATCCCTCCAAGAAGGAGAAAAATGGATCCATTTGGAATGGGTGGTTGTAGGCTACGATGATTCTATAGCTTAGCAGCAGATCACCTTTGAATATAGAATATAGTAGATTGATATGCCGTTCATGCGCTTACTGGGAAGCTACCACAGGTGCTGGAGATCCTGCCAAAACCTTCAGCATAGACTATAGATATTTGCTCTCAGAGAGCAGTGTTTGATCCGGTGCTGAATTTTATGTACCTATTTAGCATCAGGATTAACTAGCAGTGGAATATCTATGTTTTCTGGCCTGTATTAGCCCACGAAATAGTTCCTAACCACTTCTTTCTCCGCCACCATCTAGGAAGCCCCTGAGGGAATTGATGCTCTAGGTCTCTTAAATATATACCTGTGAGGGAAAAAAAAAAAAGAAAGAAAAAAGAAAGGGCAGAAATGTGGGAATCGGCAGGTTCATCGTAAATGGATTTAAGACCATGATTCGGAATTAGGGCAGCGAGTCATTAGAGTTACCCGCAGCGGGGGCGAGACCCGTCAATTTGATTTCTGGACTCTTTCTAATTATTGGTTCAAGCCACGACTGGGTCCTACTACCCTGACCAGCTCGACTGGCTTCGTCCGAATAATATCCTTATCTCCGCTACCCTTTTTCATGCTGGATATTTATATCTAAATAAATATATAAAGGTTCTTGAACTTCATAAGATGTCCCTCTGTAACTGTCCACAGATCAATTCAAAATCGAAATCAAATCTAAGCCTGAAATAGCAATGAAGCTCTATGACGCACCCGCGCCCAACCCCATGGCCGTCCGTCTGTTCATCCTTGAACGGGGTGGACTCACCCTTGATGTCGAAACAGTCGATATCATGACCCTCCAAAACCGACGTCGTGCATACCGTGCAATCAATCCTCGCGGCGAGGTCCCAACCCTTCAACTTGATTCCGGCACCGTCATTACCGAAACCACAGCCATATGCGAATACCTAGATGAGATGGCTATCGGAGGTACATCTCTCTTTGGCAACACCGCAGAACAGCGCGCCGAGACGCGCATGTGGCTCCGAAGGATGGACCTGGAAATATGCCAGCCCGTTATCGCCTGGTTCCGGAACGACCCAGCTACGGTGGACTTCTACAAGGGCAACCGACTACCGACGCCGGAGGCGAGAGTGAATCAGAAAGTGATGATCAATCAAGCCTTGAACATGCTTGATGATGAGTTGCAGGGCAAGACCTGGCTATGCGGGGACAGGTTCTCTGCGGCAGATATTCACTTTTATGGATTATTGAAGATGATGATCATGCAAGTGTGTGAGTGGGTTTTGCTGCCAGGTCGTGACAACCTGTTGGCGTATTGGAAACGATTGGATGAAAGGGATGCGTCTCGGAAGGCCTTGACAACCTTCTCTACTAAAGTCACGGTATAAGATTTATGCTTTATACTGCACTTCCTTTTTGCTTTTTTGTTCGGCATATTCCACGCCATTTAGAATAGATGCACCACATGTTCCTTCAGCGGCTAGCCTCTGGTTTTGGGATTGCATTTGGGGAAGAAGATATCTTGGATATATTTAATATCGCTTTTTTAAAATATATATATATATATATAGGTATTTGCGGTACAATTCCTTTCTGTTGAAGCCTTAGGCACGGCAATCACATGATTGTCATGCGTTTCTTTGTGTTATACCTCCATAGCTTCAACTATTCCTAGATAGCTCTAAGTACAATAATAAGAACAGTTTTTCAACCTGTTTCAATCGTTTTTACTTTCTTAACTTTGGGTGGAGGAAGCACTTCCAACAGAATTCAGGAATTAGAACCAAATCTTGTTCTATATCTGAAATACTGTTCTATTATTATTAAAGGTAGCTTTTCCAATTAATTTCACAGTGAATACAGGTTGATAGATCCTTGCTATATGCTTGTGTCTCTAGAACTCAATTGCCAAAAATGTAATTTATAGAAGCGGAAGTTTTTGTCTGTTTATGAGGTGCTTAAAATTAATAACGTGTCTGAGGGCGTTAAGTAGTCTAAAGTCCCCCACAGCTGGACTGAATACGTACCATTTGTTATGATTAGGGCTGAACAAGTTAGATCTCATCTCTTCGAGCAGTACAGGGCTCCTATCAGTCAAGGCTTGTTTGCCTTACATCTTATGCTGCGGGCGAAGAACGGGAATTTGGACCACTAGTTAAATCCAACAAATCAGATTGATACTTCATCATGAATATGAAATTATAAAATAAAATAAAAAAAACATACAACAGGAGGGATTCGCTGGTGGTCACCCACCCAACTACTAACCTCCCGGCGTGTGGCTTAAGTACGGCTGAGCGGACGGGAAGCCCTGTTCTCCACACCCTATGGTCGTATGTACTGATTGCATACTGGCAGAGGGTTATATTGGTTGTAGAGAGAGGCGGCAATGAGTCTTCTATAACTAGTATACACCTCACAAAACCCTAACCATCTATTCAGCCCAGTCACAGCTATCAGGAGGTAACAAGTTCAAGACAGCCACACCCAGATACCAGCGTAAAGCCAGCCATGGACCGAAACTCCCAATGCCCTTGAAGGGATCCCCCCCCCCTCCTCTAGGACTGGCCCGCAGCGGGCGGGAAAAAGCCGACAAAGTAGTCGCGCTTGCCCAGCGGCACGCCCTCCTTCCGCAGGATGCCGTATGCGGTGGTCAGATGGAAGTAGATATTCGGCAAGGCCACGCTATGGGCATATGCGGCGGCACTCATATCCATCTCCCTCTCGGGCCCCATCTTTGTGGTGGCGACGACGTTGGCGTGCTGGTTGACGACATCTCTGTCGGCTTCGGTGAGTGCCTTCTGCACCGCCTCGATGCGCTCGTAGCTCTGCGCATAGGTCGTGGGGCTACCTTCGAACGTCACCGGCTCCTGGCCAGTCAGTCTTGCAACGAGGTTCGCGGAGAACTGGGTCGTGATGCGGATTTGGTCGGTCAGTGGGTACATGTCGTCGTGGAGGCGGGCCGTGAGCAGAGCGTTGGCATCGGGGCGTTGCTCTGCCTGGTGGAGGATGTGGGACAGGGTGCGGAGGATGGATTGTACCACCACGATGGTTGCGTCGTAGAATGTGTGGCTCATGGTTGGGGAAGAGATGAATTTAATAGGTAGGAAGGATTTTATTACGATCTGGTGCGAAACTGCGGGGAATAGATACTCTTAAGATGTCAGAGTTACCCATGTCTCTTTTTAAATCAAGGATCTTACGGTCCATTACGATACAAGTAACACCAAAACAAGAAGAGGGGTCTGGCTTGATCGACCGATGCGCAGTAAGCTGAGTCTTGGCATTAGGGCTATGGGAGTATGCCGGATAAACGGTAGCATGTATACGACACTTATAGTCCATCCAAAAGGCTAGATCGAGACAAAGGATATAATAGATCTGTCAACATCCAGGGGCGCATTCTTTACATTTTTCTCCCCGACTTATATTGATGTTGGTTCGGAACTGCATTTTCCAGGTCTATAGAACTTCTGTCTCTGAAGCATAGGAGCACACGGGCAATCGGTCACTGTCAAGGCTACTTTACTTACTTCTTACTTAAAGCTTGATAGCACACACGCATTCTGGTGTTCCGTTTGAATCGTAAGCACGATTAGACTGGATAGACATGCAAGAATTGCTTGTTTGCATTGGACTTGCCGTATACACGGCAGTTGGGGCTCCACAGCATAAGGAATATCATACAATAATCAGGGAAGAGAGATTGAATGAACCAAGCCCGAATATGTCTAACAGTGGTAGTATAGAGTGCATGTGTCCATTGCAGTTCTCCACCCATATACAGGGGAGGGGAGTAAGTAGGGTACTGGGAGTCAAGAGTCACATAACGAAAGATTGAGACAGGCGATAAAAAAGAAAAGAAAGAAAAAAAAGCACTGACAAGAGTGGGATTCGAACCCACGCGTCTTGCGACATGTGAAGACGACCCTATTTGCTAGGGCAAGCTGTAGCTTGAGTCACACACCTTAACCACTCGGTCATCTTGCCATATTGATGATAGCATACACCAGATTTGATTATTTATTAGTAGGTAATACCAGTAGGTGTTAAAAGTAAAAAAGATTGACAAGAGTGGGATTCGAACCCACGCGTCTTGCGACATGTGAAGACGACCCTATTTGCTAGGGCAAGCATTTATAGCTTGAGTCACACACCTTAACCACTCGGTCATCTTGCCTGATTGTTGCCTTTCCTCCCTTTTCTTCATTAATATATGGACTGGATACCAGCCACTCTCTTGACTTTCTCCTTGTATACAACTCTACACAACTGCGACGTGACATACAAAGCATTATCAGCATCAATTCTTCTCCAAATATTGGCTGATATTCTTGCACCAATTCTATATTCGCGTGTTTGGTTGAGTAATAGAATGTTTTGGCATTTTATTGTGCAACGGAGCAAGCCCTTTATATATATTAGTGTTAAGGAGTTGTACTTTGACCATTTACTTGGGTCTTCCTCATCGTCCACAACGACGAGTATTATCCTACATCTGTAGGCCACCAAGTTTATTGAGCCGTGCAAGGTATTACTGCAATATCCGTGACTCCTAAATACCCCGGCTAGCTTGTTGTAGTTAAAGGCCTATCAGGAGCCCTCCCCAGTCTCCTATTGATCATCAGGGACGAATGGGTAAGTACATCGGCGGCCCCAGTTCTGAGTTGTCCATTAGTATCTATATATCTACTATTCCTTGGTGTAGAATCCACGTATTATCTTTCACAGCTACGAAGATAATATACGGTCTCCGATTGTTGGTATCATTGATATATTCACCAAGGCATGAAATGATACCTTGGTTTGTTTATATGGTTACTGTATAAAATAGCCGTGTAAGTAGTTATCACACCCGCCCCCCATACACACCTTAGTCAAGGACCAACAAGCCCCACCAAGTATGAAGATTTACTAGTATATCCCACCCCCCTACATAACCCCCAACATCTATAACCAGCTCGCACAACTCCTTCAACACATAAAGACATCGAGGTTAACCCCACTAAATGTGAGCATCGCCGTCAAGAGGTTCCGTATTTGGGGTATCATTAAGTTGCTATCATACCTGTCTCCTTTCGGTGCTTATCATAGGACCACAAGTATGGCAGCTCAATCGAAAGAGGGCAATGACCCGAACAAGGAGACACACAAGCCAGATAACCATATACTTCCCCAAGGCCAGTCTATCCCAGCCCAGCAACATGAGTATCAAAGGAAAATTGTAAGTCTCGCCCCACAGATACCAAGTTTTCCCCCAATAGACAACCTAAGTGGGAAATGCCCATAGAATCAACCCACATCCCGAACGAGCCACATCACAACCTACCATCAGAAACCTCTCTCTCGCACACCATGCGAACATGGGTACATGACATCAGACTCGTGATGCGCAGACGGCCAGTTAGTACTCCTAGGGCCCTGAAGGATTTCATCCATCCCCTGTATTTGTCAAGTCTATCTGATGTACTGCCCTACTGTGGCTACTCCCTCTCACGTGGGCCCTGGAAACATGCTCTCGTGGCCTTTGGCGTTGACCCAAGGCAGGACCCCAACTATAGGATGTATTAAACCTATGAATTTCCATACAACTACGACCTCATCATCGCAGAGCCTTCTTTTACATCACATCCGACTGATGTAATATCGGTCCATCGCATCAACCATGGCGATAATTCCCATATATTTGACGGGAATTTACTATTTGCTGATGACAATGTTTGACAATATTGTGATATTTCTGATGATCAACTTCATCGAATCTGGTCGACAGCAGCGGTTCGCCCGGATTTCTATCCTCGAAATGGATTTTTCTACAATGGCACGAATGCAAAGCCATGGGAAATTATGACTGATAAAGTGATGACCCCGCGAGATGGAGAAAAACCTGCAGTGGACGATTATGAGTGTCTTTTGGGCATCTCTGATGACTATAAAGTCGATTGCCGGGGCAAAGATCGCAAGAGACATAGCCTGGGATTTGGGCAGAATTACACTCACAAGCAAGCTTTCATGAGATCTTTGATTCTAAAAAAAGGCACAGACCATATGAATTGTGTCTAGCCATACTATACATATTTAAAATTCTGCTTAAGGCACACGAAAGTACTTGATTTTCCGAGATAGTGAGTGGCTTTCTAGTAAATTTAGATCGAAGTACATAGTTTGAGTGAATCACATGTGCACTCTCTTGACATACTGGCGAAGTTGAGAAGCATTACTCTCCCCCAAACAAACCTCTAAACCCCTCCCCTTAAAATAATAACACAATTAGTTCTTCATTGATTTATGTGTTTGTTTTTGTTTTAACCTCGCAACATATTCACCTTTCTCATATTCCCACCTTTACTAAATGATTTATTCGATCATCGGAGCCAAAGATCATCAGGCTAGACAATCATGACATCTATTGTTCACAAGAATTACATCCCAAAAAAGAATCAACAAGCAACCGAAAATAGAACAGATGACGGGCTGGATACATCATGCAACTCGAGTCAGAGCTGGGGGCGTTCTCGAGCTCGACCGGGCTACCAAGATGGCACCCCTGCGCAGGTCGAGACTCTCACAGAAGAACAACACCGGTCGCTCAAGTGGATAGGCAACCGGAGAACTGCAAACAGGATGTGTCGGCCAACGCGTTTCACATATACACGGGAAGAGAAGCTTTTCGCGATTCAGTATTGTCGGGAGGCCAGATCACTAAACATTGAAACCATGACATGGTTTCCAATTACTATGGAGGTAGCGGCTAGAAAGCATTTAGTAGACGAGATAATGCTGAGACGGTGGATGAAAGATGAGGATAAGATAGTCGCCATGCCCACTGGATCTAAAAGAGCCGATAAACGCCCCCGGGTTCAAACAGAGACGGTGTCTAGCGATGAGGTTTTATTCGAAAATGAGAGTTCCCCTACCAATGGCAAATTTTCGTACTACCTGCAATTAACGCCAAGGCAGCTAAGGGATACGTTGAACTTGGCAGCATCTGACCATCGCGTTGGTTCCCACCCTCTCTAAGGATAAGTTGTTATAATTTGACCATTTCGCCTAGTTCCATACGTTTCAACACCCCATTCCCTTTGTTGGAATCGAAGGGGGAAGGTTGGGAAAGCTATATACATTCCAAGATGCATATAACTTTCTAAATTATCGAAATGCCTTTTCCCATCCAGGCCGCCCTCTTCCTCCACCTGTCACAGTATCTAGCCTGACATCAAGTGAGCGGCCCTCGCTGAATATCCACACTAAGAACACATACACGCGTAGGACAGGAGAAAGCAAGAGCCCTACTCTTAAAGTTGTCGATGTTAATAAACAACTCTATAATCTGGCTCCCGAATTTGATATACGAGCGCCAATTGGTGGCAACAAGGGCTCCCATGAGCTAGTAAGGGCCTTTTATGATGAAGTTAAGTACTGCGTTGCATTAATTTGCCAAAGCATAGCCACTTCAAGTAGTATGGTGAGTACAACTTCAATGTGCTGCGAAGCATGGATTATATATTCTTACATGAGTCATGATTTGCATCTAACAATGAATCTGTTAGGTAAATTCAGCCCTTCCTGTGCGCATTGAGCTGGACTATGATTATCCATATCCCGGAGCCCCGACACAATGGGCTATACTTTTCTCTTTTGGTGATGAAGAGTTACTATTGCCTTTGGCATTGTCGCTGTGGGGTCCTCAGACTATGAATGCATCTAAGCCAAATATCTTATACCTGCAAGGCTGGACAATTGATCCTGGAATCCGAACAACTCCACGAGAATCCAAGATTAAAGAGTACTACAAACATGTTTAGAAACTTTTCGAGATGTTCAGGCATAGTACAGTACTATATGTGACTGATGTTGAGCCGCTCTTTTTACGAGCTGAAGATCGCTGGCGCCCACGGAGATATACCAGCACATGGGCTCTCCATACGACTCCGATCCATGCAAACTATGCGTGTTCTGGATTTTACAGTACTATTCATGGGAGATACATGGATATTGAACTATTGGTGAACAGCATTTTCCAGCTGGGCTCGAGGGTTATTTTTATGAAGGATGCCACACGAAAGCCTTTTGAACTTCTAAGGCTAAGAGGCTTTTCATTACATCGGCCTACATCACGACCATACGATCACCTATACTCCCTGACAGAGAAGCTCATCAAGGGTGTGAGGCCACAAGCTCTAGAGGCATTGTATTCTGATGAAGTGGAACATTTCACTCCCACTCAAGTGGCAAAGGGTGAAGAAGACATATCTATGCTTCAATCGAGGGGGCTTGGCAGAGGGACTGCTGGTACCCATGGTGTGACATGTTCCATCGCTGAGCTGGAGGATACTGTCAATGTTACTGATATAGATGAGGTGGGCGAGGACACACTATACCATAATAACGGGCCAATGAAGAAAAGGCGTTTGAATCAATGCTCTGCAATGCAACGTGTAGTCCTCAAAAATTACATGTTGGTTGATGGCGAGAAAACATGATTGATAAAAACTTGTCCATTACCACAGGAATTATACTCGGGGTATTGCAAGCACCACTCTTCGAGGATCTTGCAATATGTGTCGTCATTAAAGTCTACAGGCGTTGAGCTTCCAATGCCACAATGGGAGTTGAACCTTACTAATGATGCAGCGACTGACGTCAAAAATCTTTCAGACAGTTATCATAAGAACCGTCAGAAAACCTGGGTTATAGACTTTGAGTATATCACTCTGAGCGGAGGAATGTCTCCGATACCTCTCCAGTTTGCCATTAGGCAGCTTGACGGCAAGCTGCTTCTTGCAGAGAATGTTCACTATGACTTGTCTCTTGAAGGTTTCCTTGCTAAATTGGCCACTTGGGAACCTGTGGATAGGCACGCACAAGTCCTATTCACACGCTGCTATAGTGACATTATGACAAATGGATTGAGGCCAGAAGAGATCCGGGATAAAATAATTCATGATTTGAACTACAGTGCAGAAAGATTTAGTATCATTTTATGGTACAGCCAGCAAGACATGCAATGTTTCCAAAGACTGCTGTTGGGAAGTCGAGAGCTAATAGTCCCCAAAGAAAGCCGCCATTTATGCTCAACCTTTCAAAACATTGACGTGGGAAGACTCCTGAAGAAGCTTCTCCCCAGGACCTGGCCCTCCATGTCTTTGTCTGTGGTTCATGGAAGCCTTCTTACAAGCC